TGATGAGGTGAAGTATTCGTACGACGAGTTGTAGTAACGAATGTAGACGAACGAATATGCAGGTCTGAAGTAGACTTCTGTGTAGTTCTTCTTACAGCCTGCGCAGTTGATGTTTCAGGAGATTGCAGCGGAGTAGGCGAGACTGGAACGGGTCCTCCGGTTACGGCGTGCATCTCCTCAATAGTAGGAATATCGCTGAGGTCAATTGACTCAGCCGGTAGAGACGATTCTAGTGTAATATTGTGAAGCCGTGTAATTGCAGAGTTGATCTTCTTGAGGGTGAGGAATCCAGTTGCTGTTTCTCCAGTAGCGGTCGTGCAGACGACCTTTATATAGCTGAGTGTGACATTGTAATGAGATAGCATATCGACGAGTTTCTTATTGTCCTCGATCGGATTTAGGACGTTTGGAATGAGCAGATCAGTCAATGTGTTACGATGGTTCTGATTATTGTAGAGAATAGTAAGTAGTTGTTCCTAGAGCTCAGCTAGTTTTCTTCAGATTTCCAGTACTCGACGTGCTCAGATAATTCTTTGATGAACGACTTCGACTTTTGGTTGTCCGCATGAAGGCCTTCGTATGCTTGAATGATGAGATAGATAGAATATTTCTTCTCGGGCGGATAGTCCAGATCCGTTGGCGTTGGTAAAGTGGCGTCATCGACAATGCAATCCCGGAGAAGTAGATGGCGTGACGTAGATGCGTCAATCACAATGTAATCGCGAGTTGCTAACTGCTCGACACTGAATGTATGTTCGAAATTGGCTGCAATTGTTAGCGACTGTGCGATTCGTAGCGATTAAGTTGCATAATGAATGATTGGATTTGGCAAAGGGTATCCCTTTGTGGCGCAACTGAGGTACTTGATGTTGGTAGACGCTCAGCCTTTGGTGGAAAAGACCGTGAGTAAAATAAGGGCGATCGTATCGTTTTTTCAGAGCCTGGATGGCAAGGTGGTAATTTTCTGGTTTTGACGGATCATACCCTTGGATTAATAACGCAGCGCTACCTTTTAGTGAATTTGCCAGATAAATGAATTTGGTGGACAAGGAAAGACTATCGTTCTCGTGAACCGCAGTCTTGAATCTGCACCAGAAGTCATAGAAATTAGCAACATCACCGTCAAACGTAGGTCATTCCAGCCGACGAAGCTGAATCGGCTGTAGCATGGAGGCAGAGGAATCCTGAGCAGCCGCAATTGTTGATCTTCCTGGATTATCGTCATTACCGCGGCATAACGGAATGTTGGTAGTTTGTGGCGCGTCGGTGATACTAATCGCTGACGTCGCGGTGACTATATCGTCGCTATGCTGCGCTAGGAGAATGTGGTACATGGAGTCGTCCATGAGGAGTTGCGCGTCAAGCGTTACGATGATAACTTGCGCTTCCTCCATGATTTTTTNGCCGTGTTGATCTATCCAGAATTGTTCAAGCTCTTGCTTGATTGCGGCGGAGTTTTCATGAGTTTGAGCAAAAGATAACGACGACTCGTAACGACTTCTTAGAACTTCTGTCGCCTTCTCAATTCCACGCTTGGCAGCGGAAATGATCCCTTTACGGCGTTGAATTGTGCGAAGTTGTATTTCAGGTACCATCGTCTTGTCAATAGGCTTTAGACAACTAGGATCGACATTAGAAAGCATTCTAGAAAGCATTTCAGTCGCAGAGGTTATCTGTGCGTTATGCCCTTGAAGAGTTGACATATTGAACCACGTGATCACGAAGTAGTTGGCCTTAAGACAAGTATGTAATTTCTTGTTAAAGACAAGAAGACGACCACCGAGACGATAAAACGTAATAACTGACGACTTCCAATCACGACGAAGCTCCTCTTCTAGTGTTATAAACGGTAACGTTGAATAAAGAGAAAGGGT